GTTTGAAAAATATTTTTTGAATAGGTACACTGAGAAATTTCTCCTCACATCTGTTTTATTTTATTTATTTATTTTTTTTGAGAGTGAGAGAGGAGAGAGAGAGAATTTTTAATATTTATTTTTTAGTTGGCAGACACAACATCTTTGTTGGTATGTGGTGCTGAGGATCGAACCCGGGCCGCACGCATGCCAGGCGAGCGCGCTACCGATTGAGCCACATCCCCAGCCCCCTCACATCTGTTTTAAAAGGTAGACATTTTTATGTGCTTATTATTTGTTGTTCTAATATTCATTTTTCTTTCTTTCTTTCTTTCTTTCTTTCTTTCTTTCTTTCTTTCTTTCTATTTTTGTAGTACTACAGATAAAATTCAGGGCCTCTCACATGCTAGGCAAGTGCTCTGTCACTGAGCCATGTCCCTAGCTCTCTGATATTCCTTTATACAAATACAAGAAAATATGAATATGTAATCTATGCTCTTGTTTCTCACAGAAAGGAACATACTGTTTAAAACCTGATCTTTTTTTAAATTTTTAATTGTGGTAAAATGTGCATAACATTAAAAGCTTATTTTTTTTTGTATGGCAATACTGGGGATTGAACCCAGGGGTTCTCTGCCACTGAAGACCCCAGTCCTTTTTATTTTTTTCAAATTTTTATATTTTTATTGTTTGTTATTTTTATTTAAACTTTCCCAGAAGAAAAGAGTGGAAGAAAAAGAGGTTTGATCCCATGGGAAGATTCGATTCTCTGGGACTCACTCTTTCTATTCCATCTTTTCCTTAAAGATCCTTTAGAGATCCTCTACTTAAAGACAGATAGACATGTCCTACTTCAGGTTTGACAGCTGTCCAGGAGAAAAACATTCCCATTCTCCAGACCTGTAACATATCATGTCACACCACCAGATATATTATTTGCAAATATTTTCCTTTATCCTATGGGTTATTTTACTCTTTTGATAATATATTTTGATGAAATTTTTTTGTTTTTAGTATTGGGGATTGAACCCAGGGCACTTAACCACTAAGCCACATTACCAGCCCTTTTAATTTTCTTTTTCGAGATAGGGTCTTGCTAAATTGTCCAGGCTAGGCTCAAACTTGAAATAATTCTGTCTTAGCCTCCCAAATCTCTGAGATTACAGGTGTGTGTCACTATGCCCAGCTATTTTGAGACAGGGTTTTGCTTAATCAAAAATGTTAAATTATGTCTTTTTTTTTTCTTTTGTTGTCTATACTTTTGGTATCATATCCAAGAAAAAATGCCCTACTTAATGTCATGAGAATTTTCTCTGGAATATGGGTTGCTATCCCTATGGCTGACTGCTGGGAGGATAATGGTCAGTAGCCACTATGTCAAAGGTCAAGTTTTATAAGGCTCTTTGTAGAGCTTGGCCTTGGATGTTGCAAGTGTTTGGACTATAAAATTCTAAAGTAGTTACTTCAGACAGTTCTGCCAATTGCGTGCTTGTTCAGGTGGAAGGATGGATTCCTGGAGTCTCCTGGATGTGTAAATTCTGGATATGCTTTAAAAAACAAACTTGACAATATATCCTGGAGATCTATTTATGTATCAGTTCATTCAGATCTTTCTTATTCTGTTTAATAGCTACATATATTCTGTAAAATGGGTACACCATGGTTTATTCAACACATTATCCAATCATTCTTTTTTTTATATATGACAGTGGAATACATTACAATTCTTATTACATATATAGAGCAYAAGTTTTCATATCTCTGGTTGTATACATAGTATATTCACACCAATTCGTGTCTTCATAMCCGWACTTTGGATAATAATGATCATCACGTTCCACCATCAATAATTACCCCATGCCCTCTCCCTTCCCCTCCCATCCCTCTGCCCTATCTAGAGTTAGACTATTCCTCCCATGCTCCCTCTCCCTATCCCACTATGAATCAGCCTCCTTATATCAAAGAAAACATTATTTTTTTTTTTTTTGGCGGGGATTAGCTAACTTCACTTAGCATTATCTTCTCTAACTCCATCCATTTACTTGCAAATACCATGATTTTATTCTCTTTTATTGCTGAGTAATATTCCATTTTTATATGCCACATTTTTTTTTTACCCATTCATCTATTGAAGGGCATCTAGGTTGGTTCCATAGTTTAGCTATTGTGAATTGTGCTGCTATAAACATTGATGTGGCTGTGTCCCTGTAGTATGCTATTTTTAAGTCCTTTGGGTACACACCGAGGAGAAGAATAGCTGAGTCAAATGGTGGTTCCATTCCCAATTTTCCAAGAAATCTCCATACTGTTTTCCATATTGGCTGCACCAATTTGCAGTCCCACCAGTAGTGTATGAGTGTACCTTTTCCCCCATATCCTCACCAACACTTATTGTTGTTTGTCTTCATAATAGCTGCCATTTTGACTGGACTGAGGTGAAATCTTAGAGTGGTTTTGATTTGCATTTCTCTAATTGCTAGTGATGATGTGATTTAAAAAATCTTGTGTGTAGATGTGTATATATGTGTGTGTATAAACATATTACCTATACAGGTATGTCTGTAGGGACTTATTTCTGAAATCAGAAATGCTAGGTCAGAGTAAATGCACTTTCAGTTGTAAATATTGCTAAAAGATCATTCATGGGAGTTGTATCCTCAAAATACCATGAGCAATGTATGAGAGAGCCTGTTTCCCCAAATTTGTAATTTAAAAGTTTCAATTTTAAACTTCTGAAATTTTGCCAATTTGGTAGGTGAGAAATGTCATCTGAATGTAATTTTACTTTGCATCTTTCTTATGAGTGAAGGTGTGTATGTTTTCAGATGTTGCAGAAGTGAGTTCCTTAGAAAAATTGAAGAGGACACAATGAACAGCAATTAAATGATCTTCTTTGGTCTTGCTTGTTCAGGGTAGTGCTTGTGATCCTAACTGGGGAAGTTGTTGCTGGGAGTGGAATTTGCTGCTGCTTCACAGGAGAAGACAGAGCAGGAGTGAGAAGAGTGGAGAACTAACTTGCAAGCTGGGGCAGGAGAAACTTTCTTTAAAAAAAAAATTCAGAATGAATTGAAATTATCATAACTTCAACTGTCCTCACATTCTTGATTGTTTCCTTTGTTGTGAAGAAACTTTATGGTTTGATACCATCCATTTATTGATTCTTGATTTTACTTCTTGCGCTTTAGGAGTTTTGTTGAGGAATTTGGTTGAGGAATTTGGTTTCTCAATGGAATGGTGTTTCTCAGTTTCCCCATCTTTAATTTTTTTTAAAAAACTTGTAAACTGACAAATTTTAGTTGTATATATTTTTAGAGTACAAAGTGCTATTATGACAATGTAGAATAATTAAWCTAATTAACTTAGAAATCACCCCTAAACTTACCATTTTTGTGATAAGAACATTTGAAATTCACTGTCAGTAATTTTGAAATTTACAGTTCATTATCATGTACTATATTCTCTATATTGTGCATATATCTCAAAGAAATAAACCCCTTACTGCTCCTAATTGAGGTTTGTACCTCTATTTTTTGTACCTCTATTTTTTCTCCCAGTATTGGGGATTGAATTAAGTGTTATGCTACCACTGATCCACATCCCCAGCCCTTAAAATTTTTTGGGGGGGTGTACCAGGGATTCATCAGGGGTACTTGAACACTGAACCACATCGATAGTCCTAATTTGTATTTTATTTAAGGACAGGGTCTCACTAAGTTGCTTAGCACCTCACTTTTGCTGAGGTTGAACTCGTAATCCTCCTTCCTCAGCCTCCCAAGACTCTGGGATTACAGGCATGAACCACTGAGCCCAGCACAATTTTTTGTTTTGAGACAGGCTCTCACTAAGTTGAGTAGGATGAGATCCTCCTGCCTCAGTCTCCTGAGTTGCTGAGAGTAGAGACATCTGCTACCACACCCAGCATATATTCCATCCTTTTAATGGCTTTGAGGGAAAGCTAAGTATGACTATTGTAGGATATGAATTAAAGTAGCTACAGAATTTTTTCATTTTGCAAAGTTGAAACTCTATACCCATTAAACTTAACTTCCCATTTCGCCTTCTCAGTTCCTGGCAACAACCATTCTATTTTTTTTATTTCTATGAATTTGACTACTTTAGATATTACATATAAGGAAAATTATACAATATTTTCTTTTTGTAACTGGTTTATTTCACATAGCACAATGACTTTAAGGTTCATGCACATTGTAGGATATGGCAGCATTTTCTTCCTTTGTATATATGCACCACATTTTGTTTGTCCATCTCTTGACTGCTGTTTGAGTTACTTCTACCTCTTGGCTATTGAGAGTAATGTTTCTGTAAACTTGGTGTGCAAATATATCTTTGACATCTTGCTTTCAATTCTTCTGCATGTATATCCAGAAATGGAATTGATGGATCATATGGTAATGCAATTTTTAAGTTTTTGAGGAACCTCCACACCACTTTCCATAGCTATTGTACCATTTTATCTTATTTTGTTCTTTGTGAACAAAGAAGACATGACAATAGAATGTATTTTATTTTATTAAAAAATTTTTTTAGTTGTAGATGGACACAATATCTTTATTTTATTTTTATGTGGTGTTGAGGATCGAACCCAGTGCCTCATGCATGCTGGGCGAGCATTCTACCACTGAGCCACAACCCCAGCCCCTAGAATGTATTTTTAAAAAATTTTTTGTAGTTGTAGATAGACAGCATGCCTTTATTTTGTTTGCTTATTTTTTTTGAAGGCCACTGTCTTTATTGATCTAAAAAACTTTACAAGGTTAGTGACTGTTATGCCAAAAAAAGTGCTAAATGGCATCAAACAGACCAGAGGTGAAGGTGGGGGTGAGGGAAGGGGCCAGGAATCCAATCAGAAAAGCTGGTTAATGATTTCCATGGAACTGGCAGGGGAAAGAGAAAGGGAGTTGCATGCAAGAGCAAAAATTCCAAAAAAGATTGAAATGGTGARGGGAGAGAACTCCCAAAGACCCTGGAGTACAACAACAGCAATCTTTTCCTTTGTAGAGGACAAGGAGCCCCCACTCAGCTGCAAACTCTGGAGACTTGATAATGGGGCTAGGGATTGAGGGCTCCCCAGAGAACATCACAAGAAGGCGTCACACCATTCTCGAAGACACCCAAAGCAGTCCCGGGACTGCTTGGCATTGGCACCACATGTGTCCTTCAGCCATTCTCGGAAGAGGTCTTCATCTTTCTTTAGCACCAGAAACTGACCGAGGACGACATATGCCTTGTCAAAGCCCCTTTCCTCAAGCTTCTTGCCCAGGACTTCACCAATCCCAGCCAGGCTCCCCACTGGCTTTTCCCCCATAGGCTCTGCCACGAAGTCTCGATGCTTTTGGGAGGTTGTCATCTTGATCGAGCTTAATAGGCAGCTCCGGCTCCAGTAACGGTTCTGTTTGCTTATTTTTGTATACAGTGCTAAGTATCAAACTCAGTGCCTCACATGTGCTAGGCAAGTGCTCTGCCACTGAGCCCCAGCCCCAACCCAGAATGTATTTTGACGTATCATACATACATGGAGCATAACTTCCCATTTTAGTGGTTATGCATGATGTGAAGTTACATTAGTCATGAATTCTTATATGGACATAGAAATGTTGTATCTGATTCATTCTACTATCTTTCCCGTCTCCATCCTCTCTCCTTTTCCCCCACTCTGCCCTGTCCAGTCTGGTGAATCTGCTATTCTCCACCCCCTACCTATTATGAGTCATCATTCAAATATCAGAGAGAACATTTGGCCATTGGTTTTATGGGATTGGCTTATTTCACTTAGTGTGATAGTCTCCAGTTCATCCATTTACCAGCAATGCCATCCTTTCATTCTTCTTTATGTCTGAGTAATATTCTATTGTGTATATATAACACATTTTCTTTATCTGTTGAAGGGCACTTAGGTTGATTCCATAGCTTAGCTATTGTGAGTTGAGCTGCTATAGACATTGATGTGGCTGTGTCACTCTAATATGCTGATTTTAAGTTCTCTAGGTATATGCTAAGGAGTGGGGTAAGTGGGTCAAATGGTTGTTCCATTCTGAGTTTTCTGAGGAATCTCCATACTGATTTTCATAGTGGTTGCATCAATTTGCAGTCCTACCAGCAACGTATGAATGTACCTTTTCCCCAACACCCTTGCCAATACTCATTGTTGCTTGTATTCTTGATAATTGCCATTCTGACTGGAGTGATATTAAATATCAGTGTAGTTTAATTTGCATTTCTCCAATTGCTAGTGATGTTGAGCAGTTTTTCATGTATTTGTTGATTCATCATATTTCTTCTGTGAAGTGTCTGTTCAATTACTTTGCCCATTTATAGATTGGGTTATTTGGGTTTTTTTTTTTTTTTGAGTTCTTTATATATCCTGGAGATTAATGCTCTGAGATGCAGATGGCAAATATTTTCTGCCATTTAGTAGGTGCTGTCCTCACATTCTTGATTGTTTCCTTTGTTGTGAAGAAACTTGATGGTTTGATACCATCCCATTTATTGATTCTTGATTTTACTTCTTGCGCTTTAGGAGTTTTGTTGAGGAATTTGGTTCCTAAGCTGACATGATGTAGATTTGGGCCTACTTTTTCTTCTAGTGAAGGGTCTCTTGTCTAATACCTAGGTCCTTGATCCACTTTGAGTTGATTTTTATGCAGGGTAAGAGCGGTTTAATTTTATTTTGCTACATATGGATTTTTAGTTTTCCTAATACCATTTGTTGAAGAGGTGATCTTTTATCAATGTTTATTTATATTCCTTTGTCTAGTATGAGATAACTGTATTTATGTGAGTTTATCTCTGTGTCTTCTATTCTGTACCATTGGTCTTCATGTATGTTTTGATGCCAATCCTATGTCATTTTTGTTACTACAACTCTGTTGGATAATGTAAGGTCTGGTATTGTGTTGCCTCCTGATTCACTTTTTCTTGCTGAGGATTGCTTTGGCTCTTCTGGGCCTCTTGTTTTTCCAAATAAATTTTATCACTGCCTTTTCTATTTCTATGAAGAGCAGCATTGGAATTTTAATAAGAATTGCATTAATTCTGTATAGTCCTTGTGGTAGTGTGGCCATTTTGACAGTTTTAATTCTTCCTATTAAAGAACATGGGAGATCTTTCCATCTTCTAAGGTCTTCTTCAATATCTTTCTTTAGTGTTCTGTAGTTTTCATTGTAAACGTCTCCACCTCTTTTGTTAAATTGATTCCCAAGTATTTTACTTAATTTTTTTGAGGCTATTGTAAATAGAGTAGTTTTCCTATTTTTTTTTCAGTTGATCCATTACTAATGTATAGGAATGCAATTGATTTATGGGTGTTAATTTTATATCCTGCTACTTTGCTGAATTAATTTATAAGTTCTAGAAATTTTCTGGTGGGTTTTTTGGGGGGGTCTTCTAAATATAGAATCATGTTTTTGGCAAATAGAGATAGCCTGAGTTCTTTTCTTTTCCTATTCATATCCCTTTAATTTCTTTCTTCTGACTAATTTCTCTGGCTGGAGTTTCAAAGACTATGTTGAGTAGAAGTGATGAAAGAGGGCATCTCTATCTTGTTCTAGTTTTTAGAGGGAGTGCTTTCAATTTTTCTTCATTTGGAATGATGCTTGCCTTGGGCTTAGCATAAATAGCTTTTACAATGTTGAGGTGTATCCCTACTATCCCTAGTGTTTCTAATTTGTCAAATGCTTTTTCTGCATCATAAAGATACTGAGATAACCATGTAATTCTTTAAGTCTATTGATATGATGAATTACATTTATTGATTTCCATATTTTGAACTATCCATGCATCCTTGGGATGAACCCCACTTTATCATGGTGCACTATCTTTTTAATATGTTTTTGTATGTAATTTGACATTATTTTATTAAGAATTTTTTGCATTCATGTTCATCAGGGATATTGGTCTGAAGTTATTTTTTTCTTGATGTGTCTTTGCCTGGTTTTGGTTTCAGGTGATACTAGCTTCATGGGAATGAGTTTGGAAGGGTTTCCTCCTTTTTTATTTCATGGAATAATTTGAGGAAGATTGGTGTTAGTTCTTTGAAGGCCTGGTAGAACTCAGCTGAGAATACATCTGGTCCTGTGGTTTTCTTTCTTGGTAGGCTTTTGATGGTGTCTTCCATTTCATTGCTTGAAATTGATCTCTTTAGATCTTCTGTGTCTTCCTGATTCAATTTGGGTAGGTCATATGTCTGTAGAAATTTGTTATGTCTTCAAGATTTTCTATTAGAGTATAAATTTTCAAAATAGTTTCTGATTATTGTCTGTATTTCAGTAGTGTTTGTCATGATATTTCCTTTTTCATCATAAATTTTAGTAATTTGCGTTTTCTCTCTGTTTCTGCTTGTTAGCTTTCTACTGCTTTTGGTGTTGGTTTGTTCTCCTTTTTCTAGGGCTTGAGATGTAATGTTAGTTTATTTATTTCTTGATTTTCTTTTCTTTTAATGAATGAGTTCAATGCAATGAACTTTCCGCTTAGAACTGCCTTCATAGTATCCCAGAGATTTTAATATATTGTTTTGCAGGGCTGAGGTTGTAGCTCAGTGGTAAAGCACTTGGCTAGAACATGTTAGGCACTGGGTTCAATCCTCAGCACCACATAAAAATATAGAAATAAAATAATAAAGGTATTGTGTCCATCAACAACTAAAAATATTTTTTAAATGTGTTTTGCTATTATTGTTTACCTCTAAGTTTTTTTTTTCCATCCCTGATTTCTTCTGGAATCCTTTGTTAATTCAGTAGTGTACTATTTAGTTTCCAAGTGTTAGAGTACCTTCTATTTTTAATTTTATCATTGATTTCTAATTCCATTCCATTGTGATCTAATAGAATACAAGGTATTATTATCTTTGTTTTTTTTTTTTTTTTYGTATTTGCTAAGAGTTTCTTTGTGGCCTCAGATATAGATTATTTTAGAAAAGGATATGTGTGCTACTGAGACGAAAGTGTATTCAGTCATTGATAGATGAAATCTTTTATATAGGTGTGCTAAGCCTAAATTATTAATTGTATTTTTTATTTCTATAGCTTATTTATTTAGTTTTATTYGGAGGATCTATCCAGTAGTGATAGAGATGTGTTCAAATACTCAGTATTATTGTGTTGTGGTCTATTTGATTCTTGAAATTGAAAAGGGTTGTTTGACTTATGTAGATACTCCATTATTTGGGACATAAATATATATGATTGTTATATTTTTTTGATGTATAATTTCCTTAAGCAGTATGAAATATCTTTCTTTGTCCCTTCTGATTAACTCTGGTTAATCAGAAGGCTGCTTTATCTGATATGAGGATAGAAACTCCTGCTTGTTTATGAACAATGTATATTCCATTCTTCAGTGTATGGATGTCTTTGCCTATGAGGTAAGTCTCTTGGAGATTTTGCTGGGTCTTGGTTTTTAATCCAATCTGCCAGTCTATGTCTTTCAATTGATGAGTTTAGGCCATTTACATTTAATGTTATTATTGAGAAATTATTCTTATTCCCTACAATTTTGATTTATTTTTGTTTTTAATTTGAAGTAGTTTCTCCTTTGATTATTGTAGCATAGTTCCCCCCTTTGTTGTTTTTCACTTTTATTTTTCATTTCTTTTTCATCAAATATTTTATTAAGTATATATATTGTAGAACATGCTTTCTAGTTGTGAATTCTTTTTACTTTTGTTTATCATGGAAGGTTTTTATTTCATGAATTCTGAAACTTAATTTTGCTGGATATAGTATTCTTGGCTGGCATCCATTTTCTTTCAGAGCTTGGTATATGTTATTCCATGACCTCCTAGCTTTGAGGATCTGTGTTGAGAAATCAGCTGAGATACGGATTGGTTTCCTTCTAAAGATGATCAGTCATTTTTCTCTGACAGCCTTTAAAATTCTATCCTTATTCTGTATGTTAGACATTTTCAGAATAATGTGCCCTGGAGTAGGTCTGTTGTAATTTTGTATGCTTGGCGTCCTATAAGCCTTCTGTATTTGATTTTCCATTTTGTTCTTTATGTTTGGGAAATTTTCTGATGTTATTTCATCGAAAAGATTGTGCTTTCCAAGTCTTCACCTATCCCAACAAATCTTAAATTTGGTATTTTCATGTTATCCCATATTTCTTGGAGTTCTGTTCATGGTCTGTTAACATTTCTTTTCTATGGTCAACTTCATTTTCAAATTATATATTTAGTTTTCATTGCCTGAAGCTTTGTCTTCTAAGTGGTCTAGTCTGTTGGTGATGCTTTCCATTGAATTTTTATTTAGTTTATTAATTTCTTCATTTTGGGGATTTCTACTTGATTCTTTTTTTCTTTTTAAATCTCTCTCTTTATTGAAGTAATATTTCACTTTCTATAATTTCTCTCTGATTTTACTCCTTACATTGTCCTTTACCTTGCAAATCA